TGCTGGTGCAATAAGCTGTACGTTTTACGTCCAATGGATGATGATCTGATTAGTCAACTAATCGCAAAAATAATAGGTGACTAGTCGACTTTCAAAATAATCATTTGTGGAAGCCCTAGTGGAGACCCAAAGGTGACAGCACACTGAAACCAGCAAATGCTAGAAGAGGGCATTGGAACTGAAGTACCCAGTCACCTCAATGGTGAAATATACTGGTACTTCACTTTTTACTACGATCCTCATGCATCCAATCACACATACAGGAGCTGTTTTACTCCTACAGATGAGCAATTTATCACACAGGGGTGCAGGTAGAGTGAAGCCTTCCCTCATGGAGAAGAAGGCTGGGAGCCAAAGCAGCACAGAGCTCTGTAAACTGAGGTACAGCAGAACGTCCATCACTGAAGCTCTAGAAACTGGTTAACAAAGGCTCACAGCTCTGACAGGCTGGAGAAAAAAGAACTAATGGTCCGTTCTCCACAGATCCATCCACACTGTACTCTCAGCTACATGACAAGAATACACACTGAGGAATACTGGGAGCACGCATTCTCACACAACCCCAGCATCAAGTATCTTATAGACCTAAAAACAGAGCACGGCCAGAACTCATCATCAGAGCATCATCGAGGCAGGCCAACGAGTCTCTGGACTGAAGGACGGGACAGAACCAGGACCTGACATGATCCACACCTACTGGCTGAGAAGCTAACAGCAGGTATCATCAAGGTATTATCAACCTTAGAGTGTGAGGAGTTGGTATGCTGTACCTGCACTCATCAAACAGATCGGGCACATCAGTAACCAGTATACGTGATTACATCCACGCACTGTGCACACAGTATTTCACAGGTGTTCTCTTATTTTAGTGACATCAACGAGCTGATCATCTCCACAGACGTGAGTGGGACCTGCAGACTGCTGTGGGCTGTGAGCGTGGTTATTACTCCACAGTGTTTACTTCCACAGACAGCCCGTGGAATTAAACGTTTCTTCTCTCTTTAAAACTTCGTGGTCTTTCAACAGCTTTATGAGGTGAACACACTCAACGGAAATATCTGATAACGTGACCCACACGTACCTCACTGGGAACGCGCTCGTCCGTGGAGGCCTCGCGGAGACACAGGCATGCGCAGATATGAACATCTGCAGCTTTTGTCTGTGGGTTTGTCTGCCGATCACGCCTGAGCCCTGCTGGTCCCCGTGGTCCCGCTGACAGCTGGACTCGCCTGTCCAAGTGAAGCTGCTTCCACCGATATGCAGAAACAACAGCACAGAGACCCGGAAACACATCTGAACTTTTCAGGCCGTTTCCTTTTCTTTGTGGTTCCTTCCCCCTCACTGTGAAGCGCGAACTGCTGACACGGGAAACAGGAAGGCTCTTCAAAATAAAAGCCCAGAGGCATTTGTCTTTGACTAGGGAACATTTTTTTATATATCTGAATCAGTTTATTTTAATCCCCATCTCTAAACAAAGGCCAGTTTTAACACAGCATGATTCACCTCAGCTTTAGTTTCCATCAGCGCAGAGGACTCCACCCCCTTTAAAGGTTGTGTTACTGAACCCAGGTGATGAAAAGGTGTTTAGTCTGACAGTAGTACCTACCCGAGTAGGTCATTATTCCCTCCTGTGTGATAGGAACATGAAGCTTGGATCTTTCCCCAGGAATGAAACCGAACCTTCCTGTGGTCCAGACTCCACCGTTTCCTTATCACTGTGATTTTATTTTGAAGGTAATACCGGAAAGGGCGGCTCATTGGGACTACATTACTGAGCGAAGTTCAGAATAACTGATAAAGGCACGAATTCGTGAGAGTAGGTGTGATGGCCTCAGAGGAACAGCCCGGTGAGTGTGTGTGGAAATCACCTTTATTAAAGCTAATGCGATCATTGTTCTCTGTCTGCGCTTCTCAAAGTCATCAAACTGTTTGAACAAAGAGGAAACTTCATTAATATAAACGTGTGTGGGTGTGCGCGCGCGCAGTTTACTGGTAAATTTTAGGTGAAAAACGCAGTTTGAGCGGGTTTTTCGTGCGTGACGCAGTTTTTATTTCAGTTACTTTCACTTTCGTGTAATAGATTACTGTATGTGTGCAGGAGCAGCAGGAGGGAGGGCGAGGAGAAGTAGTAAGGACGAGCCTCCAACAGGTGTGGTCTCTGCTTCCTGTTTGTTCACTTTAATGTTTCATCTGTTTCATGTTTCTGACTAACACATGATAAAGAAGAGCTGACAGGAGATGAGGTGAAAGATGGAAGCTCCACATGAGTGTGAGCTGGTCACGTGATTTTGTACGTTTGTTCATATTGAAGCTGCTCCGCAGTGAAGGTGGTCGTGCTCCCTCACAGCAGCACCTATCAGCTCTCAGTCAGAACAGAAAAGCACTTTGGTCATGTGATATTTAAAAATATATAATATAATATATTATAATTATATTATAATATATATAATATTGTAGCTAGCATTGTTTTTGTAAGTTCTTTGTAGATCAGCCTGGAATGCCCTGCACATGTAATCGGACCTTTGACCTCTGTGTTTCTGCATTCAGTGTCTGATTTCAGGCTGGTTCTGGTGGGGAAGACTGGAGCAGGAAAGAGTTCCAGTGGAAACACTATCCTGGGAAGAGAGGCCTTCAGAGCTGCTTCCAGTCACTCCTCAGGTATCTCTCTCTCATACACAAACACACACACACACAGAGCTGGTGAGGATGTAACATCCTGGACAGGGAGGAATGCTGGTTTGAGGGCGGAGTCAAGGAGGCCATTTACGTGGAAAGGGAAAGACCATCTCTGAATCGAGGAGGGGGCCTAAGGGTGCATCTGTCACCATCTTACAATGCTGTGATTGCAGCCATTCCCCAACTCTCTGTTAATGGGACTCATGGTCATTGATCAGTGGGCTTTGATTAGTGGGTTTTGGTCAGTGGTTGTTGATCAATGGTCATGAGAATTTGCATAATTATGATTAAGGAACTGACCTCCCAGCCCATTGTTCCTTCAGTGGGCTGGTTTCAGTCATTATGCAATTGTACTGTTTATAAGATTGGGGAAACCTGCAGTCAGCTGAGACTGAAGAAGTAAGTAAGTAAAATTTATTTATATAGCGCCTTTCACAGATAAAAAAATTACAAAGTGGTTTACAACACAAGAAATGGAAATATAAAACAATATAGCAATGTAAAACAATAAAAACAACATTTCTCCCACTGAAACCGCTATGTCCAGATGAACAGAATCAAACTTTGGGATAAAACACATATTCACAGCTCGGGTGAAACGTCTTCAGGAAACTTAAAGAAGACACTTTTCTTTCCAAACTTCTTAGACTGAAGCCTCTGTAATGATTAAAGCACCAGACTTGAGCCTTCAGTCTGTGTCAAGTATGAGACCCATATTCACATTCCAGCCTCTGTAAGGTGATCTCTGTGCATCCTCCTTCATGTTCAGGTGAAGGCTGTGTTCATATTTGATCTAAATTCAGGTGAACTGATCTGTTTCCTCCTCTTTAGTGACCGCTGAATGCTCCAAGCAGCAGGAAAGGGTGTTTAAGAAGATGGTCTCAGTGGTTGACACTCCCGGCCTCTTTGACACGTTCCTGCCAGAAGACGCCGTAAAAAGGGAGATCTCCAAATGCATCAACATGTCAGCTCCGGGGCCCCACGCAATCCTGCTGGTCATCAGCGTGGGACTCTTCTCAGCAGAGGAACGAGATGCTGTGAAGAAGGTGGAGGAGATCTTTGGAGAGGGTGCCTGGAGGTACACCATCATCCTCTTCACTCACGGAGACAAAGTCGGAGCAGACTTTGACGAGTTCATAACGAAGGAGTCAGGACCTGAGCTGCAGGAGGTCCTGAAGAAGGCTGGAAACAGATACCACGTCTTCAACAATCTCAAAGCCAATGACCGCCGCCAAGTCCTGAATCTGCTGAAGAAGGTGGATAAGATGGTGGCCGACAATGGAGGAGAGTTTTACTCCAATTACACCTACCTGGAAGTTGAGAAAATGTTGAAACAGAGAGAGTCAGAACTCAGAGAGTTCTTCGAGAAGAAGCTGGAGGAGGAAATTAAAGCTGTAGAGTCAGAGTACAACAAGAAGCTGGTGGAGGCTCAGGAGGAGAAACAGCAGGTGGAGGAGGAACTGCAGTCTGAGCTGGAGGAGCTGAAGCGGTATTATTGGGCTTTAGAGAGCGGAGTCCATCAGGTCGTGGAGCAGATGACCAGAGATGACTGTTTTGATGAAATCCTCACCAAGTTCCACGAGACCCTGAAGATAAACTGAGCTGACATCATCAGTTATGTAGCTCTGTTCTTCAAATTAAACTCATGTTACTGTAACCACTGCAAAAAGAGAAACACTGTTCAGTCTGTTCCAAGTGGTCAGAGTCATCATGTTAACCACATGTAACAGTAACTACAGTGTAGCTGGAACCAAAATCTTCATCTTTAAAACCAACATAATGAAAAAAGTCTGTCACTGAATCAAACCTGTAGGCAAATGTAGTCTCATCACATTACTGTGAGTGTGATGTTATAACATCTTCATCCAGCAGACTGTTAAAAAAGAATGAATCATGAGGTGTATAAAATAGCATAGGCATTTTATTGTCATTCAGAACATACAGTTAGTGCACAACAGAATGAAATGTTGATGCATTTACTCACCATCAGAGTGTACGATATAAATAAATAAATAAATCGATGAAATATAAGAATATATTTCATTTTTTTCTTCTTTTTTCAGTTTCTTTCTCATATGTGTATATACACATATGAGAAAGAAACTGTACAGAATATTATAAAAATAAGAGTGGCAGCAGCAGAAAAATGGTGTACAAAAACTGTTTCAGGTATGAAATTGTACCACCCTAAATATATACATAACATTGCATATTAATGATCAGTGAACTGACCTCCCAGCCCATTGTTCATTCAGTGGTGCTAGTTTCAGTTACTGTGCCAAATGTGCTGTCTATAAGATTGGAAACCTGCAGTCAACTGAGACTGAAGAAGTCACCTGATGATGATGAAACGTTTCTCCCACTGAAAACGTCCAGATGAACAGAATTGAGTTTTTGGAATATTATTGATTATTAGATTGATCAACAGCCCTTTGACTGGTCTCTTCATATATGACCTCATACAGGTCAGAGGTGTGTTGATTAGCTGATGTGATAAGTCATGTGACTGTGTGCTGGAGTCTTCTTTAATATCTGCTTGTATTAACAGACTATATTTTACTGTAAAATAAACTTTTGATATTGTTTTGGACTCTGTGTGATGGAGTCATTGATTGACACTGACCTGATGGAAAATCTCATTTGTCCAGTGTTTTCACCATTAAACACTGTGTAGCTAGCTCCATATTGGTGAGAAAAGGGTTGTATTTTTGTAACTTTCACTTTTTATTTTTTATATTATTTTAACTTTGATCCACTGATTAACTTTTAGGATCTAAAAACATATTTAGGTTAGGTTCAGGGTTAGAGTACAACAACCATGTGTTTTTAAAAAAAAAAAAAAAAGAAAAAAAAAACTTCATTTCACCTTGAAGCACCTCATTGACCTTGAAGCATCAAATAATCAATCAAACCTTTGGTTTTATTGTCGTTACTCGTATGATTGGAGCAGAGCTGGCTGAAATCCTTGGCTAACCTACAGAAACTTGACATTTTTGGATATATTCATACAGTCCATGACATTTTGGTGTTATTGTGACATCATAGAGTCTCCATGCCCTTTATATATTTAGTGTGAATGCTTGAAAAGCATTGACAGTATTGTTCTTCTAATCTTTATTGTGTGAATGCCTCACAGGCATTCACACTACTGAGTTCCTCTTTCTCTTTATTCTTTATACTTTATTATTATTATTGTGTGGATGCTTTAAGACAAATGTTCTCAACTTATTGGGCTATTCATGTATGATTCAGCTTTTTCATATCTTCTACCGTTTTAATCTTATCACTCTTTAAGTTTTCAGTTGTAAAATTGTGATTTTTCAGAAATTACATGCGTTGTTATGGTTGCTATGCAATTAACTCAGAGTGGACAGTGGAACTTTGTGAATTTTCTCTTCATGTCCGAACAACTTCTTGCTACTCGCTCAATTTTCACTCAACCCCCACAAATTTTACATCAAAATGTAGGTATTTTTGCTGGCTTTCAGAAAATGTCACTATTATTGTTGTGGGAGTTAGAGATTTTTTGCAAATCTCCTCAGAGCAACACAAAGTCTGAAAACTCTCCATAGACAGTCAATGGAGAGCTTGCTCAAAATCATCGCTGGATTCTCTAATGACACTCATTTTTAAATCATCATATCTCCTTAATGAAGCAAAGTTAAGACATGAGGCTTGTGCCAATATATCTTTAGACACTCCTAATGCTCACAATTCAAGAATTTTTTTCTCACCTATTACCGTTCTGAGATGAGTTACATTTGTTTGAGGGTAGGAAATTCGTGCCTTGCTCAGATTTCTTCAGATTTCAAACTCTGGAAATGAACTATTTTTTTGTCTCGTCATATCTTTTAGATGGTTTTAAACAGAGCCCTGGAAATTTCCATCACTGTTCACCAAAGCCTGCTGTTTCTTACAGTGAAATAATGATTTTGATGCTCCATATAGATTTAGAGTTACAAAACGTTGTTTGAGGGCAAGTCAAGGCAGTTTTTCCTTCACGTCTACTCAGTTACAGTGTGTTACAAGTCATATATCTTTAATAATTTATATTTTATCTCTGAATTGTGAAGACCTGAAGATTCCCCCATCTGTTCTGAACAAAACGATATCTGAATGACTGTTCTAGCCCCTGCGGTTAGGAAATTATGGCCATTTGTTCGAGGGGAATCCTGAATGTCAGAAATACACTGAAGAAAACTCATATCTCTCTCTGTGTCTGTGTGTGTAAGGGCTGATTACAGCAGGTGCAGCTAATTTAACTGACCTAGATATACCAAGCCCACACTCTTAACAGCCCTGTTCACTTTGTGCTCTGTGTATGTGCACGTATATCAGTATTTCTCCTATGTTAAACTATTACTTCTCAATCATAGTATTTCAAAGTACTTCTACTACATCTTAGTACTTCTGCTCAATCATAGTATTTCAAAGTACTTCTACTACATCTTAGTACTTCTACTCAATCATAGTATTTCTGCAAAATCATAGTATTTTTGCCAAATCATGGTATTTGTGCCAAAGCATAGTATAACTGCAAAATAAAGTTTTTTTAGCCAAATCATAGTGTTTGTGATAAATCCTAGTAATTCTGCTCAATGATAGAATTTCTGCTATGCTGTAGTGCTTTTTGCTAGATTATAGAATTTCTGCTAAGTCAAAGTATTTCGTGTAAATCATAGTATTTCTACCAAGTCCCACTGTTTCTGCCAAATCATAAATCATAAATAATTTTAACAAAGCAAAGTTAAGACATGAGGCTTGTGCCAATTTATCTTCAGACACTGCTGACTCTCACGGTCGGAGCTGTTTTTACAGTCATCTTACTATTGAGCCATAAATTACGTTTGTTTGAGAGGTGGAAATCTGTCCTCCTCTCAGTTTTCAAACTCTGAAAATGAAGACGATTCTTCTCTCGTCATATCTCCGCGACGGAGGTACAAAGAGCTATGAAAATCGCAGTCAAAGTTCACCAAAGTCTGCTGATTCACACAGTACAAGAATTGTGCTTCTATCCCACCTAGTTTTTGAGTTACACGACGTTTTGTAACTCCAAAAAACGGCATTTTACGCCTCCCACCGCGATCTACTTCTGACTGCTCATCACCGTGTTTTCCTGGCAGTCGCTCTCTTTGCCAGTGGCGCAATTGGTAATGACACGGGTCTGGAGCATCCACACTATTGACTTCCTATTTGTCCTTATTCTTTATACTTTATTGTGTGGATGCCTCAAAAGCAGCCACACTATTGAGTTTCTGTTTCTCTTTATTCTTTATCCTTTATTGTGTGGATGCCCTCAAAGGGCATCCATATGGAAGAAATATAGTATCATCAGAATTCAAGTATTTTTAGACATTGAATTTATAACACTGAATTTTTATCCTCCAAATTTCCCTGCAAAAATATTCACCTGCAAAAATTCACCTGCAAAAATTCACCTGCAAA